AAATTATCATGACAGAATATGCTAATCAATGACTAGAAGGTAGTTAACTCGACATCAGCTGCATAAACTCATCAACTAACCGTTAAAATGTTGTTAAGATGTTGTCTACATGTTGTCTCTCCATCTTTGACTGCGGTTTGAACTTAACAAGTTTTTTTAAAATTAAAATTAAACACACAAATTTTTTTGAAAATTAAACTGACACACACACACACACACACACACACATGCTTTTGAAGCTCCACCCACTGTGTTGGTAGCAGCAGATCATTTGCATTTAAAGGAACAGGCACAAAAAAGGGACCCTCAAAAAGCGACCATTTTAACATATATAAATATCTGTGGAGTATTTTGAGGTAAACACACACACACACACACACTCTGGGGACATCAGAGGGCATTAGATCTCCCATTTAAATGATAGATCTCATGTTTTCCTACATGTTATGTTTAAATATGCACTCGTTTGCATACATGTTCTTAATTGGTCTATTCGTAAAATCATGTTATATAAATCAGGCGAATGATGTATGAACAAACTTTCAGAAGATAGGAATAAAATGTGTGTGTAAAGCTGCTATTGTGGAGATTTCTGACTCAAACTCGTCTAAAAGAAGAGAGAGAGAGTGTCTGTGTGAGACTGTGTGTGTGTGTGTGTGTGTGATAGAGGACCTCAAATCTGAAAATTAAAAATAAAATTTCTTTATTTTATATTTTTAGATGGAATTTTTGAATTTTAGAATGAAATTCGCCTGCTTTTTTAATCTGGGCATTTAATGCAACACTCTTTACCTGAAATAAACTTTTGAAAATCAAAAAATACAGATGTTAACAATAAATCTTGTGCTGTGACATTATTTCAGTGTGTAATACCCACTTTAAAAGAGTAAATCTGTGTCGCTGTGTGCGTTTGTGTTGATCCAGAAGAGTTCATGCTCATCTCAAGGGCAGAAGTGTCCCTGTGCACTATGAAGGGCTCATCATGCCCCCTACAGGCCACCGGAGGAACACTAGCACTGCTGTCCTGCAGGGGGCGCTAGAGCCAAACACACACTGATGGATCAATGACACACACAACCATTCAACAACACACACACACACACACGTGCTTGATGAGGCGGAC